ACCAATGATATAAGACCTATCCGAGGTTGTATGCTAGAGCCCGGCTCGATGACATTAACCTGTGTGGAAGAAGTCGAGAGAATCCACCAAGGATATAAGACCTATTCGAGGTTGTATGTTAGAGCCCCGCTCGATGACGTTAACCTGTGTGGAAGAGGTAGGATCGAATCCCCCTGAGATTGATCATCTGGTGATTGAGCTATAATAACAATTGTGTATTGCTCGAATCAAGGATATTGAAGTTAACAGCTTGTGCAAATTTATCAATATAATTTTACTTGAAGAAGATAAAGAAACAAAGTCTTACTGCATTAAACAAAGGCATACCTCCCTATGATAACTTAGGGATGAAAAAGCTACAAACAACATCCAAAATTACAGGCAAACAATACTGAAGGCACACAATACTAAAGACATGCAATACTTAAAACGAGTAACACTACTGTGCTCTACGCAATTGAAACTCGGCAAGGCGTTGATGGGCCCCCAACGATGGTTCCGATCTCCCCCACTATTTGGCGATTATTTACTGACTGCATTTGTTGTTGATTCTGCCCCCCAATCGGATCAATTTCATCTCGAGCTGGTGTATTCTTGATGAATTGTCGGAGATATCCTTGTCGGATTAGTCTCTCAATTTCTTCCTTGAGCTTCCAACATGCTTTAGTAGTGTGCCCACGGCTACTATGAAAGTGGCAATATTGCTCCTGGTTTCCGATGTTGGGCTTTAAAGGGTGTGGCCATTTCATGTTCTCCTGATTCCGGATGGCCATTAATACATTTGCTCGAGATGTATTGAGTGGTGTGTACTCCTTTTCTTGGCGAGGCTCTCGTCGCGGATGTGAGGGTAGAGGAGGAAGATTGTAATTTTCTTGCTTCTTCCTTTGTGATGATGGATTCTCTATTTCTGGAGGATTTTTACACTTCCCATTTGTTTGTTCAAATTATTTCCTGTGAGCATTAATGGCTTCGTCGGCAGAGATTTGGGCCTCTACTTGATGGATTTGATCAGCATATAAATGGATCATCTCTCGCATGAGGGCCGAGTAGAAGGGGCCCGGGTGAAGCCCTCCAAGAAATCACCTCTAAGTAACTCAGGATCTACCCCTAGAATTTATCGGGCTTCCGTGGAAAATCTTTGAAAGTACTCTTTAAGAGATTCACCCTCGTTCTGACGTATCCCTAAAAGATGGGAGGAGTCTTTAACCATCCTTCGGTTGGCGATAAATTATTCGACAAATAATTTGGCCAATTTAACGAATAGTGGAATGGACCGGGCGGGCAGTGAGTAGAACCATGTCCGGGCTTGCCCTTTAAGGGTGGCAGGAAAAACTTGGAAGAGTAGAGCATCCAGGGCCCACTGGATATGCATAATGGTACGGTAGTGATTGATATGCTCGTAGGGGTCTGAAGTCCCATCGTAAGAATCAATATTCAGGAGTTTGAATCTTGCCGGAATGGGGTGTCGAAGGACAGCTTCTGTGAAAGGTGATGACTTCTGAAGGTCTTGTTGATGAAGAGATTGCCTTATACCTCCTGTGGGGAAATCCTCTCGGACTAGTCTCCGCAATTCATGTCGTAGGGTATTACAGGGGAGTTCAGTGATGTGTTGTTGGTCCAAGTCCTTAGGGACGTCCGGAGGAATGTGACGCTGATGGCCTGTGCGCGAAGGATGAGTAGAGCTTGCGGTGTCAGCAAGCTCATTCTCTGGACGTGTTGGAGGACGCATCCTTGACGGAGGAAGGGGGACCTCGACATGAAGAACATATTCGAATCCTGGCCGATCTCGAGGAAGAAGAATATCTTCTTGGGGTACTAGCGTCGGTCCTCGAGTATCCCTTCAGAGTTGAAGGATCTCATTCTGAGACTCCTCCATCTTTCTGATACGCTCTTCTAGGGATGGCCCTGAAGTCCCTTCTCCTGCAGGGTTTCGATCGCCGGGGTGAAAGGAGGCAGATGACTGTCGTCCTTGATTCAGGGATTGATTCCTAGATTGATGTGAATTGGAGCGGGAGGTTCCCATGATGCGATGGCTACGCTTGTTGGCCATTAAAGGAGTACTTAGTATAGTGGGATTGATTATTCCCACAGACGGCGCCAAACTGTTGCGGGCTTGAATATACGCGGTGATAGAGTTTTAACTATACGTGCTAGCTTTGCACTGATATCCAGCACACACATAGAGAAAATAAGATTTTTTACGTGGAAAACCCTTAAAAGGGGAAAAAACACGAGGCCTAGCCTAATTGAAAATGATTCCACTAGAATTTGAGTCGATTACAATGGGCTGACTCGCCTCCAAGGGCGATCAGATTACAACTAACAACTGTTCGATAGAAGTCTGGTGTTAGACCTGGTGTCACTTGGTAGTACCCTTGCGTCACCTGGAAGTTCGGGTGTTAGTTGATAGTCTGACCTTAAGTAGAATGTCGGGCCTTAAGAAGAACGTTGGGCCTTGAACAGAATGTCGAGCCTTGAACAGAGCGTCGGGCCTTCAGTAGAACATTGGGCCTTAAGCAGAATGTTGGGCCTGAACGTCGGGCCTTGAGGTGGTGGTGCAACGAAGCTCCGACGATGGTCCGATGAGGTTCCAGCGGTGGTCCGGTGAGCTCTGGTGGTGGTCTGAAGAGGTTCCGGCGGTGGTCTGGCGAGCTCCTGTGGTGGTCCGGCGAGGTTCCATCGGTGGTCGAGGAGGAGCTTCTTCCTTCTCTTCCTTCTCTTCTCCTCTTCTTCTCTTCCCTTCTTGCTTGGGTCCCCCTTCCTTGTGAAGAATGAGGGCTCTATTTATAGATTTTATGGAGTGGCATAGCTCATAAATAGGCATGAGATCAGGGGCGAATAGGGAGTGGTTGAATGGACGGCCGATATCGAAGGTCTTAGAGATGTCGGAATTTGGCGATCTTGGACTTGTTGGATTTGTCTCGTCGAGCCGTTCTATTCGAGTATAAGCTCGTTAAAATCGGAGACCGTTTGGTATCTCAAATTGCGGTTTGAACCTTTCAACATCGCTTCGGGTCCATGATTCGGACCCATATGGGCTCGGATCGAGTTGAATTTGGTGTCGTTGGGTTCGTATTTCCGATACGCTCAGTTCGATTATAAGTTTGCTGAAATCGGAGTTCGGATGGTCTCCGAATTAATTTTTGAATTTTTCAATTTGATTTTGCATCGAGATTTACGCCCAATTAAGATAATTTTTTGACGAAATAATTATTAGATTTTTCATATAAAATTTTTGATATCTCATATATTTCCTATTTGTATATGCTAAATTTTTATAAAAATCAAAATATGAAATAAAAAAAGGTATTTAAATCGAATTATTTAGAATCAAATTGGCTCGGTCCAAAAAAAATTAATTTCAGATCAAATTCAATCGTGCTAGAATGGAAATTTATTTCGAATTTGGTAACTCGATGGAGCAGACTCGGCACCGGTTGGCTCGTCTTCCTCCTGGCCGTTCTCTTCTCCAAAACCTCCATCCTCCCACCCCGCCGATTTCCTGAACTCGGATTTATATCCCGCCCCCTCGCGCTCGTCAAGCTGACAGGTGATTCATCGATCCCTGGTCGAGGCTGCGCGGCTCCTTGGCATATCTTCTAGGGTTTATACGTGCTACACAAAATTTGCTAAGGCTTTTTATCGACATAGAAATGATGGGCCCTCAGAACCAGTCTACGTCATTGCAACGCCTTAATCATGCCGAGAAGGTCAGATAACGATCTTAAACAGATACCTAATTATTTCTTTTTGCTATTTGACGATATGCTATTGCTTTGCTTTTGATATGTTATTTCAGAGGATTGTTCGTGTGCTTGAGCTCGCTGGATTGGTGATGGATGAGCTTGCTAATTCGACCGGCCCCAGGACTGAAGTGCTCGCTGGTCATTGCCGAGAGTTCATGAAATCCATTAAGGTGTTTCTCCGAGAATATCTGTTTCCTTTTGCATATTGTTAAGAAATATTTAGCTTTATTTCGGAATATGATTGCTTAAGGCTATAGCAATTCCCAAAATACGATGTGCTAAGCTTTTGGGTAACGCGGTTTAATGAAATACCTCCACGATTTGTTAGTAAGTTGTTAACTTATTCTCATTGCTTCGATTTGGTATTAAATAAAATAGTGATCATTGTAATCATTAGTCTTATACCAGTAATTTTGGATTAACAATAGTTAGATAGAAAAAAAAAACATGCATTCAAAACATCAACAAAGTTGCTATACCACTACAAGTTTAGAAGAGGATCCTACATTCCTACTCATTGGTCATTGTAGGAAGAAGATAATTTCTAGTCAATAATTAGGTTAGGCTGACTTACCCTAATCATCATTAACCTTATATATCCTCATTTTTTTCATTTATGTTTTGCTTGAGCTATTAAACCAATTCTTTACTAATTCTTTTGAATAATGTCTATGTTTACCTTAGGTCTATCATTTTATCTTCCTAATCCTTTAAATTTTATTTTATTTACTCAACTAATGAGTGCATTTTCTATCACTTATTTAATTTGCTCAAATCACCTAAATCTATTTTCTATTTTAGTATCTTTAATAGGTGTTAGTCCAATCATCCGTATAATATATCATTTTTTAAATTTATCTTCCCACTAGTTTTGCCATGCAAAAAGATTGAGGAAACACAAAGATGGAGTGGCCTTAAATACCGTCCAATCTCTTCATGATTACAATTGCTAATATTACCAAAATATTGTACTTTACAAAATGTAAAAAATAGTCCCTGCAAAAAGGAAAATAACACCAATAACCATATTATCAAGTCATCTACAAAACTATACCATAATGCTAGCTAGAGATCTATCATATATTTTATAAATAACTTTAATATAACTTTGGCGCACCTTTCTTCCTTGATGCTCAAAATTTGTGGTGTTTGATCAAATGATTTTAAAAATGAATAAAGATCAAATGAAGATCTTTTCTTTTCACTCTATATTTTTTATTAATTATTTTAACACAAAATTACTTATATAGTATATCTTATTAGTGTGAAATTAATTTGGTTATCTAAATTGATGTAATTGTTCTAAGACTATATCATTGTCTTATATAACTTTTATCCTATGACTCATAAGTTTGATTCCTCTATGATTATCTCAGTCTTAAGCATCCTCGTTTTTCTTACATATTGATATGAAAAAGTTTTCTCCTATCATTCAACATCTTTTTTGTCTTCAAAATATATTTAAATGATTTGTTAACCATGCCCGTGTAATGTTCTCATAACTCTTCAATCTCTATAAAACTTTACTTTTATGCATCTTCTTTAGAGCTAACTCCACTTTATTTATTTATTTTTTATTCAGTTCAATATATACATAACAAATTTCTTTATTATATTTATTTTGAAATAATTCCTTATTAAAACTCTTATTTAAAATTTCTCAGAGTAGCGTTTTTATATTTTCTTGATTATTCACTTTTAACTATGATCTAATTATATTCACTTACAAGGTATCTAACCTAATCAAGGCCTTAGATTTCTTATTTCTTGTCTCCTTGTCTTCTTCTTCAGTACCAAGCTTATTATATTAATCATTAAAAATTATAATTTTTTATTTGCTACCACTCTCTTTGTAAGAATTCTTGTTTTCTTAGGCCGCAATTGATTCGGCTTTTTTTTTGCCTTTTATGTTTCGAAATGGTAGAATTTTTTTTGGGTGTTGTTTGTTTGTGACACTTTTGTAGAAATGCTTTTTAGGGAACTGTATTTTTGTATTGTTTTCAAAAGCTTTAGGGTATTTATTTCTCTGTTAAAAAACTCTGTTCTCTCAAACAACAATTTTAAAACTACCTTATAGAAAAGGTAGAGGATAACAAATGAAGCCTTAGAACTATTGTATCCACTTTTTAGATATATATTTTTTAATCAATCTCATGTAAAATCATAGGCTATTGTGAAATCATCTATATTTTCTCCCATTGCATTTTTATCTCCTATTTCATTCACATCTTAAATTTATAATCAAACTTATTTGAACTTTATTTCCATTTAAATTACCTCCAATAAATACCCGTTGTTTATCAAGCATACATTCCCAAAATTGATTTTTGAAACTATTTTCTTATTAACTTTAGGAACATAAATAATGTATTTATGATATCTTTATCAATAATCAACTTAATGGAAATCACTGCATTACTAATATTTTTTTCTCGTCAACATTCCATTTCTACACTTTTAGCACAACTCTATGTCTATTAAGCCATATTTTTCATATTTCTCTCATTTTTTTTAGTTTCTTGCAATGTAGCAATATTTATTCTTCTTTTAATCATTATTGTCACTAATTCTCTTATAATCTCATTCAAAGTCCCTAAATTCTATATAATAAAATTAATTTTAGTTTTAGATGCAGTCAACCTTACTCACTTTTCATGACAATTTGCTTAAATTATGGTATGTAACTTATGGGTGATGTCAAAATTAAGCTTGACTTTTTTACTACAATCAGATTAAGTTGTGGTGCATAAATTTGTGGTGATGTTCTAGCAACCCTCGCTTATCTCTATAATTGGGTTTTGTTGTGGCAAGTCTTTTTTCATGACAATTAAGTTAAATTAGGGTGTATAACTTGAGTGATATCATAGAAAGTCCTGCCTATTTTTACCATAAGTGGGTTTAGTTGTGTTGCGTAACTTTTTGTTGATGTTCTAGCAACCCATGCTTTTCTCTTGAATTGGACTTAGCTGTGGCAAGCCACTTACAAGTAACATCCTATTATATCTTTTTTTGATTCACCACAAATAAGTAAGATCATGACATGTTGCTTTTTAAAATATTGTATTACTAGCAGAACTTCTTAAAATTATAGTAAACGGAGAGTGCACGTGCATTTGTTTCTATTAGGAATGTGTAAAACATTCAGGGAATCTGAAAGAGCCGATGAGGTTTGGTCTTGAAGATGTTGAAATTTCCATGTTGCATTGGAAACCAGTAGGAGTTCATTAATTCCTACAGCATCATCTATCATATCTCCTCAAACTTGCTCAAAGTCACTATTTGCAGAACACTACAGAACTTTCTCGACTTATTCTCAGCTTTAAAAAATGTTATGGGAAGTTCAACATTGTCCTCCAATTATACTAAGCCTTTATTTCCTTGGAGATTGTTGTGCTTTGTGATCCAGTCCTGTCTTTGAAAAAAGAAATTGGAAGTTGAGCAATGCTGTTCTTTGTGTCTAGGAACTGAAGTTTGTGTGGTGTTTGATGTGTTAAATAAAGACATGCCTTAATAACTGTCATGTAGAATGTTGTTTGCATTTATTATCAGTACAGTTGTGTTCTGAAGCTCTAGGTATGTTAATTTGTCCTAGATGGGAGTTATTATGTTCTAATGGTGGTGATTAATTTATAATGGAATCTAGTAGCTTCTATAGGTAGAGAAGTTGTATATATGTATCAGATATTTTGTTTAAGTTGTTAAGTAGTTCAATGCACGAAACCTAACATCCACCACTTCTATAAGTCTCATGCTTGAAGACTTGGACAAGTAAATGAACACAAAAAATGCTACTCACTTGTAATATTGAACAATCCTTCATTGGGGCCGTAACATTATTGAAAAGTCATTGAGAAATAACTAAAAGCCCTTCAAACTTGTTTAGACTTCTTCTGCTATCAATAGTTGAAACAATACAATTGGTTTTGATATCCTAAGGTTACGGAGCAATGAGAATTGTCTGTGAATTCAGTTGTGAAACTTCTTAGTAAAAGCTGATTTTTGAAGCTGTCATGTACAATAACAACAACAACAACATCAAGCCTTTTTCCCACTATGTGGGGTCGGCTACATGAATCCTATTTTGCCATTGTGTCCGGTTAAAAGTCAAATTCTCATTTAAATCTAATAAAGAAAGATCATTTCAAATATTTTCTAACCAATTCTTTTTAGTTCTACCTCTACCTTTCTTAACATAAGTCAAATCTAATACCTCAACTTTCCTAACCGGGTCATCGGAAAGCCTCCGTTTAATGTGACCAAACATTCTAAGGCGACTCTCTCTAATCTTATCTTCCACTGGAGCTACTCCAACCTTTTCACGTATATGCTCATTTCGTATCCTATCTCTAAGGGTCAAGCCGCTCATCCACCTAAGCATCCTCATCTCTGTAACACTTAACTTAGTATTATGCTTCTCTTTTAATGGCCAAAATTAACTTAGTATTATGCTTCTCTTTTAATGTCCAACACTCGGCACCATAAAGCATTGTAGATCTCACCATCATCTTATAGAATTTTCCCTTAAGTTTGAGGGGGACTTTTCTATCGCACAATAAGCCCGATGCATTCATCCACTTCAACCATCCAACTTGAATTCTGCTGATAATATCCCCATCAATTTCACCATCACTCTGAACAATAGATCCAAGATATCTAAAATGTGTGATCATATTAATGACTTGATCACCAAAAGTCACAATCCCCTCACTAGGTCTATTACTACAAAAATTACACTCCATATATTCCGTTTTAGATCTACTCAAACGAAAACCTTTAGACTCTAAGTACATTTCTATCACATAACAAGCCCGATGCATTCCTCCACTTCAACCATCCAACTTGAATTCTGCTGATAATATCCCCATCTATTTCACCATCACTCTGAACAATAGATCCAAGATATCTAAAACGTGTACTCTTATTAATGACTTGATCGCCCAAAGTCACAATCCCCTCACTAGGACTATTACTGCTAAAATTACACTCCATATATTCCGTTTTAGATCTACTCAAGCGAAAACCTTTAGACTCTAAGGTTGACCTCCATAATTCAAGTTTACCTTCAACTCCCTCTCTAGTCTTATCAACAAGAAGAATATCATCAGCAAAAAGCATACACCAAGGTACATCATCTTGCAAATGTCTAGTGAGAACATCCATGACTAAAGCA